TATATATATATATATATCCGTTCCGAGATGCATCATATAATCAGCCCTTATGAATATCTATATGCAAAATCGTAGTTATGACTTTGCATTAAATTAAGATAATGTAAAACACGTGTAGAGAGGCCGCAACTATCAAGCCTGAAATTTCAAACAAAGTTATCCGAGAAACACTGTCTCGAAAAATGTTAATGTGGAATGGCACGTTCTTTAATATTGTATCACTTTTCTTCTGTCTTATACCTTCGCTTTATCATGTTACAAGCCAGAAATTATTAGATGGTCCTCATCATATAACATGTAATAAAATGTAATTATTATTTTATTTAAGTTAAAAAATTTAAATATATCATGTAATAATTGATTGAAACCGTATACTTGATGATCCTAAACTAATGAATAATTTTATTTTTTTTGCTATAAACTGATTGCTAAACCTGGGAAAAAATTGGAACACTAGAGGGAGTTACTGAGGATGATGAAGCACTTAAGAGAGTAATAATAAACTCAAGAAGAAGAAAAAAAATGTACCCAAATGATATCTTATCTCATAGTAATTAAACAAACAAAACATAATACATGCACACACACAGTTGTACAAGGAAAGCCCAATAGAACACAAAAGAAACTGGAATCGATGCCAAAACATAAACAAAACCAATGACAAGAAAATATACAATTGAAGAAGACTAAATTCTACCAGCCTGATTCGATTTCTGTTAACACCGACACATGAAGGTGGTGGAGGTATATTGGTACACTTATTTTTTAGATCAATAATTAAATGAGTTTAAACATGCCAAAGATTAATTAAATGGAAACTCATTCAATTGTTAATCAAAAAAATAACAGTACCAAACCCCTTAAATTTCTCTGGCTACCATAGAAATTCTCTTTTCTCTAACCCATATGAGATAAATCCGACCATGAATAGTAATGATTGGTATTTTCGGAGACACTCAAAGGAGACCTAGACAAATTCAAACCACCATTATATTCTAATTTAACCCGTGGCTGAGTAACCCTAAGATTTGCGGCAATATCTCCAACTCCAACCAAACCTTCAACACTCTCACTTTGAAATGGATAAGAAACAGTTGAAGTTGACTCAAAACCATTCAAGAAAGGAAACTGCTGAAACCGCCACTGGTCCAATCCACCTCCTGAAGTAGTAGCAGCAGTACTTAAACCAGTACCATTACCGTGTCCTCCAATTTGAAACCCCATGTTCTGTGCTTGAATCTCACGCAAGCCAACACCTGCATTCCCTAC